AGACAAGGACACTAAAAAAGCAGCCTCAAATGGTGCGGCATCAAGCCACCCCAACTGGAGCCGGCAGCTACTGATAGAACGACCTGGAGGGCACACATATCTCGAGCCACTCGAGCCTTTGAATAAGATAGGAAGCAGCGTCTTAATGCTGCAAGGGCCAAGCGACATAAAACAGCAACATCAGCAGTCCTGACAACAGACCACCAATGCCGGAAGTGCGGATGGCTATGTGCTTCACGCTTTGGACTGAGAGGAGACACTAGCAGTCTTCTTCGACTAGTCGCCTCCATGGAGGTAGCACCATGGAGGTAGAAAAATTCTGCCGCAGGTCTGTACTAATCACATACATTTTTATTAGGAATAAAAAAGAGGAAAAATATAAATGACAAATATTTGAGAGGTGACGTGAACCAGGTATATGTATTTTTCTCGAAGGTGACGTGAAACATGGGATTGTGTTCATAGTGATGAGCGGAGCTAGCTCCATGGAGTTAGCTCCATGAGGAGGTCGACTACTATTCGCCAGTGCAAGTCACATGTTTCAAAACGTGTAAAACATTCGCGTGTTGACGGTAACTTTGTAAGGCCGAGCTTCTTAATATTTAAATGCTGGGACTATTCTAGTACAGAAACTTGAAAGATGCTGTCCTGACCATCATTACTAATAATTCAACAATTATTACCTTATTCCGATGAAAGTACTCTCTCCCGGCCGGAGGATCAAGCCGTGGTCCTCGGGAAAGGGCGTCATATTCACCGGGTGAATGGTGACTGTGGCGCCTGGCTCTTGTCCAAAGATTCCTACATACTCGTTTTTCTCTGCAACACAGGAAACAAAATCTATTGATATCTCTGTAAATACAGTTTGTACCACCGTCATGACTAGAAAGATTAAAACAAAATGGGTGATTGTCTGAAAAATGCAATGTAAACGACTGCGGAAAAAGTTAGGGAACCTGATTTCGGTTGATCATATCTGCATGAGATCCACGAACAAGAATTCGGAGATTTCATACCTCCATGAAATATGTAGAGATAATGTAAATGTTTTTGGGGGTATTTATCTCATTCAGAAATAAGATCATAATTACTATGATCTAGTAAATTTATGATTTTCTTAACTCAAATTGAAATATTTTGCTAGTGAACTTCCTATCTTTTGGCAATATTTGAAGTCAACATGTACTTATGCAAATGATGACTTCTATATTAACATAATATACGCACATTATTGTTAAGTAACTTACACATGTCACAACGTATAAAATTCCCATCATCATGACGAAATCACAGAATTTTCACACTAATCATGCAAATTAGGTCATTATTTGCATGATTGGTATCTGTTGATGTTCCACCTGCCGTAGATTACATACATGTATGAAAGTAATATTATGTAAAACACTGTAATAACAGAGTTTCTTTATTTATGCAAATTGGGTCTTAAGTCTCATTTGCATAATTTGCATTTGATTATATACATCCCTTTATAAGCAACCTACATACCAAAATGATGAAATACATTGTTTCTTTCTGGACTTGTCCACTTTCAAAGATTTTGCCAGAAACTGCCCTGCAGTTCCAGAACAAGCTGCTAGGGGGACAAAACCCACACCACTTATTCCTGACAGGAAAAGCTCTGTCACCAAAAATCCAAGACCATAGCATGTTCAGGACAAAAGATACAAAAAACAGAAGTTCTGCTGCAGTACCAAGGTCAGCTAATAGGAGGCCCATATTTGACCTTGACCTTTGTCTTCCTACGAGCTACCAACATACCAAATATAATCACAATCCATAAAGGCGTTCTGAAGTTATGCTGACTACAAATGTGCGGAAACAGACACACACACAGACACACAGACACACACAGACACACACACACACACACACACACAAAGACACGCCAAAAACAATATCTCCATTTTTCATGGAGGTAATAAAGGTACGCATGGAGGAAGAAACGGCGTCTGTACGCATGATATAAGACGTGCTCAAATGATGTTTTTTTGGCAGTGAGCTTTAACCCGGTTCTGAGTGCATGAATTACTGCGTGTCAATAGAAGGCGTTTTAACCATCACAGCTCTAAAGCTCTCCATGGTATGAGACAAAATGCTAGTCATAAAATAAACGGACAACTGATTCATATAATATCATTAATTTATACATACCGACGAATAACGTCATCTTAAGTCCATATCGCGCGCCTGATTTCATAGTGCTGATCTCGTCCTGTATTCCCATACCGGGGTTGAAGGTGTAGCAGTTCCCGAACTTGGAGTTTTGGAACTTGTGCAGCTCCCTTAACTTGCATCTCCGCTTGTCGAAGGTGCACTGGAGCACGAAATCTTCCTTCTGATGTCCCAGTTCATCGATCTCTTCCCTGGAAGCAGTGGAGATGTCGGAAATATCGCTGTAGTCGTCCGTGAAGGAATTGGAGATAAAACCTGCAAACGACACACCACAGTACGACTACAAAGGGTCACTAATGGTAGAAAGGCACTGGAGTAATAGCGCAGACCATTTCTAGTGCCATCGTAAAATCATTGAGGCTGAAAATAGAATGTCAAAAATGAATGTTCTAATTCTACCACAAAGTACGTGTATCTTACATTTTGATGATGATACACATAATTGTTAGCAACTTTCAATTGTAAGTATGACAGCTTGGGAACAAAGATAAATATCCAACACGATCTCTCTGTGGAAAATGACCCTACCGATAACAACTAGACGGAAATGACGGCCGTTACGTTACGCCGGGATGTGTAGTAATTCCGTTTCCTGTTGACCCGGCGCCAGGAGCCGACAGTTATATCACGGCATAGGGTCTCGTGTTCCCAATGCAATCACGGCGAAGATTACAACATCATGAAGACAAACCATGCCTGGTCGTTAACGTGTCAGATACGTTTTGTGTCACCCAATCGTATTGGCTATTGCCGTGAACCTCATTTCCTGAGGGCACGTATGTTGTATTGAAAATGTCACACGAAACTCAGATTTTCAGCACGGTAGAAATTGATGGTATCACTTTTTACATGTATTGATGGGGGTGTTGTGAACGTGGCAAATGACGAGGGACTCTTATTCTCGCCTATGACACGGTATTAAGTGACATTGCCCCGTCTGCGGAATTTAGCGAGTAAAAGTCCAGCAGATACAACCTTAACCCATTACCTGCTGGAAGCACCCAAATGTACGAAAGTTTGTAGTCTTGTACAACAGAACTCAACAAGACTATGAAAAAAAATCGACTAAAAACCCTAGAAAGACACAGTTCGGCTAGTGTTTGGGAGGCCATATTCGGATATGTGTGACACGGGTTTATGCGTTCCTCAAAATTGATCTTAAACTAGGCATTGTCTGATCTCACCTGCCCAGTCCCCTTCGCCCTCCACGCCGATGAAGCCGAGGTTGTTCCTGGCCAGTTCACACTGCTCGATCTCACAGAACTCCCACCCTTTCTCCGACTCTTCCGACGTGTAGCACCACGGCCGGGGCCGAGGGGTCGGGTCGTCCAGCAGGTTACGGCAGTAGTTGTGAACCAGGCAACGATGGGGGTACCTGATGTAACACAAAACGTATAAACAGTAAGAGGTGCGGCCGCAAATAACTCCATCAGGTTGATGAATGGTTGAATATCAAAGTTCTAAATTCACAACCACTTGTTTACAAGCGCCGTCGTTTCGATGACCGCCTGTCATCTTCATCAGGGCGAAAGTCAACAAGATGATGTTCCGTAAGAAGTATGGTATGAATCCATGATCCACTTTCCGACGACTGAAAGATAGATAATATTCTAAGATACGTGATGGGGAAAAGATGGTGTGGAGTTGGTACCGGCCTCCACCTGTGTTAAGTGCGGCGAATTAATACGGACTGTTAGAATCATGTTTACTCTTTCTTTACGATGTTCTCCTCTTTGGGAAGATGAACGAACTTTAATTCTAAATCACAACGTTAATTCAAATACTAATTTGACATATTCAAGAATTGTCCATGTATGTAATGTATGTCTTACTTTGTTTGAGAATAGCAGTGGGGATACGGGTCGTCGGTGTTCCACAGCTGACAGGGTAGTCCGTTCATCGTCACGTTCTTAGTGCCTCTGTAGGTGTGCCCGTCTCCGTTGATGCATTCATACGTTTTGCAGACCAGCGAACCTTGGTTGAACAACTTGACGCCTTTGATGTCTTGCTTGATGTCACACTCGTCTAGTGTACAGCCAACCAACTCTACTCTCAATGCCATGTTGTTTACAAACCTAGTAGGATAAAACCGGACGTATCTGGACACAACTGCTCTTGGAAGATGCTGATGTTGAATTTCTTCCCCATCGTCGTTGCCTTTGAATATGACCACTTCGTTGGTGGTAGCATTTTTGTACAGCCACCACTTAACTGCGTTGATACTGAATGACAACGAGTAAGTTTCCACCCAACTGCCTTCACTACCTAGTCCTTGAGTAAGTACAGCCGTGACGATGCGGATTTCTCCCATGTCTAGTTGTAGCCATTCCTTTCCGGGGATGCTCGATTCACTGATCCACGCTCCTTTTAGATTCAGACGGGACTTGTGAGCACCGAACTCGGGTTTGTATGACGAAGCTTTGATTTGGTGATCAGGAATATTGCCGTTCTCCATTCCTATTGGGTTATTGCATGTTGGAAAATAGGTGTAACATTGGGAGACGTACGGTCCGCTTTCATTCACAACTCTCTTGAGAGGAGGACTGCAGCAGTAGGCGCCGGCAGGAAGTACACTGGTTACTGGAGCTAGTGTTACTTTTTCTATGCACTCATACTTCGTGTTATTGCAGTGTTTAGGCAGAGAAGCTGCTCTCGTCTTGTCAAAATACCATCCAAAGGATCTGTCTCGGTGACCATCTTGGTGGGCCTGAGAGAGCTGTGGTAATTCGCAGAGTTGCATCCCGTGTCTCGCACAGTCAAGAGACGCGTTCTCAAACTCGTAGTGTTGTGTCTCCGTCAGCAGAACTGTTTTCTCACAACACATAGCTTTTGATGGACGCTTCTTTTCGTTTAGTAATGTGATGACGACAGATTGGTAGCATTCTCGTCCCTTACGGCATCCACAATCTTCTTCTATTAAACCTAATCCATTTGGTTTGGAGTACCAGGCTGCTTTTTTAGGCTGTGTTTCCTCCAGGTTACTTGAGGCTCCGCCGTGCAGTCTGTAGCCGGCTCTGTGTGCCGCTCGCAGCTGCCCGACCGTGCAAAGCTGGAGTCCCATTTTGTTACAGTTCTTTCTGGCGTCGCGTTGCATTTCATACTTCTTCTCTGTAACACTAAAGGTAGGTCTACAGCAATACGCAGGTCGACTGATGGCGGTGGTAGGAACGATAGGAAACAATCCCTGGTAGCAGTTTTCTCCGACGTACTTGCCGCAACCTTCAGACAACACCACCTCTTTCCCCTCAGCTTCAAACCAGCCCCATCTCTTGGTACGTTTTCCAGAGACGTGCATGAAGGTGAGCTGTTGTATAGTACACAAGTGCATCTCTCTTTCCTCACAGTACTGCAGAGCGTGTTGGTGATGGTAGAACAGTCGCTTCGTTGGCTGAGCCGTGTCTTTGTCTCCCTCGTTGATCCTGCAAATGTCTATGGCAGAACATGGCATCAGGGCATCATCCCCAGACAGCGACGTGTCAGATAAAGGCGCAGCAGAATTCCATGGGCATGCCAAACGGGTATCGCCATGTCCAGTGAAGGGACGACAATAGTTTTCCTCCAAGCACATGTCTGGATGCCTGTTTGGACACTTCCAGGCCCCGCACGTAAGTGTGGCCGATTGACTGAGAGCTCCGCGGTAGCTGCTTACGCTAGTCATGCACTCTTCACCGAGACACTGTAGTCCTGACGGATCAGGAAACTCCTCCCTTTGGTAAGCACGTGAGATGTTACATTCTATTTTATCGCATCCTAGCAGTTCGATACGCATACGAGGGAGAACGTTCCAAGAAACTGGCATGACTTTAACGTAACGGGCTACGAACGGCCTCTCGAAGTGCTGGTGGTTGTAGCTCTTGTCATCGTGGTTGCCACAAATCAACATGTTCTCTCCGTGGTACTCTTTGTACATCCACCACTCCGAACCGTCTCTACTGTACTGGAACCGGAAAGATTTCACGAAACTTGATTCAAATCCTTGCGTTATTATTCCTGTTACCATCATCCTCCTTCGAAGGTCTACTTTGAGCCATGGACTGGGGTCACTAGACTTGCTTGTCCAGGCATTTCGGGAGTTTAATCTAGCATGGTGGGCGGGGAACGATGGTTCTGCCGATGACGCTGTTATGTACATGTCCATGATTCGGCTATTTTCTAATCCTAGCGGGCTGCTACATCCGGGCCACGGGCTACTGCAGGGCGATCGGGCGCACGTGGAGTAATCACAGCAGTACGCATGCGCCTGCATTTCTATTGGAATCATGGGAATGGTGTCACCATGACAGTCTGCTGGCACAGCTTCAAAGTAGTCAATGACATAGCAGTTAACTTCCTCGGTTACGTTACAACCCATACACTCAAAATCTGTTTCGTTACAGTAAACTGGAGTAGGAGTTGGTTCAGGGGTCGTTGGCTCAGAGGTTGCAGTCGGGGCGATTTCCGTCTCGTTGCTGCAGATGTAAACCAGGGTTGTGTTACAGACAGTCCTGTTTCGGGGCACCAGCCTGCTGACGTTGCAACGCTCCGTTAAGGAGATTTGTTTGTCATCGCGGACAAACCAACCCCACGCCTCGTTTCTGAAACCATCTCTGTGAGCTTGCTTCATGACCTCCATCGAGCACAGGCGAAGTTCACGTTGTTTGCATCCCAAAGCAGCTTGCTCGTAACTGTTGTACTCCTCGTCTGTAATCATGAACGTTTGTTTACAGCAATAAGCAGGAAGAGACTCTTTCTCGTCCATTGTTTTAGTCATCAAAGCATCGTCGTAGCACTCCTCGCATAGGTCCACACTGTCTCTGCAGTCTTCACTGACCATTGCTTTTCGCCCTTCTTCACTGAAGTATCCCCACTTTGCGTTACGGTATCCGGACCGGTGTGCACTTCTGAGTTGACGCAGCGTGCAGAGTTGCTTTCCCATCGACGCGCAGAGTTTCCAGGACTCGTTGTAACCTGAGGCGTTATCTGGTGTCAAAGTTAGCATATTCTTTTCATCCTGACTCGTCGATCTTTCTGATCTCCGGATACTTTCATAACTATGAGTCGCCGACATAACGGGTACGGCTCCGATGATTAATTGATTTTCGTTCGGTTCTAACCAGGTTAGAGAGCCATTACGGAAGTACATATCTTCTTCATCTTCGTTATCGCCATCTTGAAGTAAAGTACCTTTCCACAATCTGACAGTGCTTGATGGATAAGTGCCATCATAGGGGTCTCTTACAAAATCAGCGCTCAACCTTTTGTAGGGTTCGTATCTATCAAAGTAGTCAGCATCTTCCGCATTATCATAATTGGACGAGCCCGATACATCCCGTTTCCGCCTAGTGTCAGTTGACATACACGGAGTAGTTGATAGATCGTCACAAGTGGCTTGCCCAGTTGAAGTCAGCCCGGCGTCGCTGTCGTTACCGGGAGACGTTTTCGGCAAAATGTGTGCAGTTTTGTTGTGTAGCATTGCAACTCTTCGTATCAAAGCCTCGAGGTCTTTCCTCGATATTGCTTCAACAGTGGTGTTCAGCATTTTCTACGACATCAAACAAATCAGAATATATTGAAGCAATTCTTTCGGACAATCTGGTCACTTGCATTTTTCAAGTATTTTATTTTTTATGAAAACAAAGTACATAATAATAATTCATATCATAATCGGTTTTGCATGCTTTGAAACACGTTTTCAAAACGTTTAAGCAACATTTTCTCATTCCCTACAATCCGCCTCTTACTTGCCTCTCTAAATGTTTGTCCTCATTTACCTTGATTTTAAAATAATATTTGAGCATATTATCGTATACATATCAGGGCATTTACTTCAAATATTACAAAATAATTTTTGCATACATGGTTGTATTCTTATCAGAGATTTTGAGCATTTACCTCGATGTTCTCTCTTGAAGTCACGTCTATGTCATACAGACTGCTGTAGTGGGTTCCGGTAAGTGACGATCGTTTCAAGCGGTTGTTGTTACAGATGGTGACCGATGGGAATGCCATGTGTTTGGTGTCCACGACCTTATTGGATGTAATAATAAATACCATATCTACGTTACTGGCAATTGGCATTTATTTTGGAAATGACGCAGAGAACTGGGAGAAGAAGAAGAAGATAGAAAGACTGAAGAATGTATCAAAACTGTGGAAACACAGAAATTTAACTTTGTATGGTAACGTTATTGTTTGCGTTATCAATACTTACTTATAACTTTATGAACATTGAAACACCTGAATGGGTAGTAAGGACTGTATAAAAGAATGCAGTTCTTTCTTGTGGAATGGAAAGAAGGACAAAATTAGTAGAAAGTGTATGACAGGAGACTACTGTGAAGGAGGTATACAAATGGTGGACCTGAGATCTCAGGTACAGGGCTTTCTAACCAGTTGGGAAAAGACTTTGTCAGGGGCTAAATGATGAAGTACAACCTATGGTAAACATACCTAACTGAGATGTGTTATAGACTATTGTAGTTTTGTATATTGTGTTGTAAATGTATATTTTGATATTTTGTACTTTTGCTACGTTGTTATTAATAAAGGTTTAAAAATATCTACATTACTTTCGTCAGATAATAGTCTTGTGAATAGTCTTGTCGAGTTGGTAAGTCACTGAACAAAAAGACTCATTTTACAAACCTATGCTGTGTAATATAAGCCAGTCAGAATTGCCCGGAGGACGGTATATCTGTATCATTATCAGTATAGCAGGTATAACCGCCCTAACAGGCCGGTATAACGGCGTAACACACCAGCTTCGCAGGCACGCGGCGTGGCAGCAGCTAGTTATATCACACCGAACGACTTGTTACACTCAATTTTTGCACATTTAATTGCAGCATTTGTTTAAAGCTTTCTAGTGATGATGCCCCAACTGTGCTTGGTGGCAACGAGTTCCAGTCTACGATAGTTCTGGGGAAGTACGAGGTGATAGACGGTCACCGATACGTCGACTAAATAAACAAATTCACTGGGTAAAAAGGAGTCCTTTTATTCGGTTACTTTATTCGCAACATGCCATAAGGCCTTCCACTAGTTTCAGAGTAACAGACAGCTGTAATCAAGTAGCTTTGTTCTTTTCTGACCTGTCATTAGAGATGATGAAATGGTGTGATATAAAAAAAATTACAGAAAAATCTAAAAACGTAATGGCATTAAAATAGACAGAGATTATTGTTTGCTAACGTTTACGTCCTTGGCGAAATGCTGTTTTACGATAGGCTCGGTCAGAGGTGCAGATTGGAATCGAACGTGTAATTAATCACCGCCAATGTCTGGTTTTAAAGGGGTCGGGTACTCTATTATTGGTTGTATTGAGTAAGCTAAAATCACAACCTTTCCACTGGGCAGCCCGGTGCTGATTAAACAATCTGGGTTCATTGATTACAATTGCCTCCACAGAGAGAGTAAATGATTTGCGGGCAATGTTGGACAGGATAACCAATGAAGTAAGTTGGTCAAATGTATCCTGTCATCTTTGAAATGGGAACTAATTCAATAGAATATTTCACACATAGATTAGGGTAGTTAAAGCCTTTGTCAAACATTGAGAGGTGTCGCGGTTATTGAACTATTTCAACAAATGGCACTCTTACCTTGATTTTGACGACCACTGGATAGTCGAAATACATCATGATCAAAGAGTAAGCCTGAAAGAGAACGATTGACGGTAAGATTAAAATTACTCCATACTTATACATTGTGCCATACGGTTACAATCAGAAAATAAAGTTCGAAATTCAGAAGCGCTAGCCAAGCTATTTGGAATGGTTGTCAAATAGGCAATCGCTTCACTTTCACGAAATAAATAGTAGAAAGACTTGAGATCAAATCAGAAAAATGCAAACAATTTAGTCATTCTCTGTGGTATATCAAGATTCTTGTGCACTGTTAGAGGGGTTACTAACTATACAAAAGACTATTACTAGACTCTGATAGTATTGTGATTCAAGTTCATCTCCCAAATGTTACTTTTAACTCATCTCCAACCGAATGAAATGTATCATTCAACAAATACATTTACCAAAGCATTGATCTTTTATAAACAGAATATGCAGTGGTGGATTCTGGTGATGATGATGCAGTGGATTAAGGACATAGCGTTCAATTTTATCACAGCTGTGTGGAGTTCTCACGTACCTGGAAGGCAAAGAGACTGAAAGCTGCCAGGAATATTGTCCACCAAAGCAGCTTGGTCCCAAACGTTGCGGCGTCTCCGATCCTGCTGACGCCATGGGCCGTGGTAGTGGACGTGAATTCCGCCGTGATGACTTTGATTTCATTCTTCTTCTCATCTTCTCTTTCCTTCTCCTCGGCTTCGTACATGTAAGCCTTGATGGCCTTCAGCGTCCTGGCCTCGATGTTTCGGGCAAACTCTTCCTTCTCCTCCTCATTCATCTTTGTCCGTCGCCCCCTCTGTTTTTGCACCAGATATATGACTTCAATCACATGGTTTATTTCATGTTATGCTATAGATATGCAGTCAGCAATGAGCTTGTGGTTCTTTGATTACGAATCCTCATTAATAAATTCTGTAGATAAAATTTATCACCTAGCCGTTTGCTTATGTATTAATCCACTCGTTACTATGTACGTTATGTATGAGACTTCAATTGGTTTTCGATGTATTCTTGGCTCATCATCAAACAACGTTCTTATCGCTTATCCCTCGTCTTGCAAAAAACAAACCGTGCTTTACACCGACGTCCGGGAATTAGAAAGTATTGGGTAATTTTTGTCGATCAATAGTTGTCTGAACCGATGGTGCACAAGCCCCATCATGTATACGTGGTATGAGTGCAGACGTACCAGGCAATGCATTCTTGATTGAGGAAAATTTCGCTGTAATGGTCTTGCTGACAGTTAGGATATTGATAGATAGCTTTGCAAAAAGCCAGCGGATAATGCTTTGGTGATCCCTAATAACAAATAGCCATATGGTTTCTACCATGTCGGCCTGCTTGGATAGGAGTGATTGCTTTTCAACGAGGAGGCTGTTTTGTGTGGCGTTCAAATTTTGTACCATCTGACGATTCTTATCCTGAAATACCCGGACATTAAGTTGACAGAGCTAAAACAATTTTTACATTACAAGAAGATCCATCGGACATAGAAAGCCATTAATCTATTCACCAATACAAAACGTTGTGCTAACACGTTCTTATCGTTGCTGAACATACGGCACGCACCATTTAACTTCAAGCAATTAGTTTAACGTAATCCCGTAGACGGACCATGAAGAACTGGTTTTATAGATTTACAATTGACGCTTTGCTGAAGTCCGCCACTGTGCCTCAGTGGGAAGCAAAATATTGCAAAGGTATATGACATTCAACACTGCTATCCGTTAGATTTTATAGATTTCAAGATATTTGTATCTACTCATGAAGACATCATAATTTAAACAAGCAGGAAATCCTTTTGAGATATCTTTCGGCATTCTTTGCTGTTGCATAAAACCCTAATAGATAAACAACACATACTTTAACCATATACATACATGGCTCCAAACATATTCCCTCAATCGACAATGTCTGAAACCAATATAGCCTGACAGTAGTGTTACCTGTAATATCTAAAGTACATTGTGTATCATCATGTCGTAATTCTAACTAAATAGCTGCCTGAGACAAGCTGTCACTCCAAACATTCACCACAATGTTACTACTTTTCATCACTATTTTTCATTATTGTAGATAGTATTGTGTCGTATTGTATTTTATTGTTTTGTTTCATTTACCCGTTACCTAAGTTATTTCTTATTTATCCGATTTATTTGAATTGTTAATCACGTTATGAGGGGAGGCCTCCTCATAAGCATTTTATGCTTCCGGCCTCCCGGAATTTTGTATTTGTATTGTTATATTTTGTTTTAAAGTGCGAAATAAACTGGACACTGAAACTGAACTGAAACAGAAACTTATTGCCTGATAAATATATCAGAGATCACTGACATGCTCAATAGTTCCAATAGAGTATTATAGAGTCTACAGTACATAATGCCACTGCCAGACTGTCTGATGTTTGGGATGTATCGACGTCTGCCGAAATTTTGGGGCCCAGCTATCTATATTTGAAGTAAACATAGATATTTGAACAGCTGAAAGTATCTATATATATTATCGAAGTTATTTCCAAACTTTGTATACACGTACATGTACTATAAACTTTGGCACCTACCCTGTACTATTATTAAAGTACAGAGAATCTGCTTTGATAAAGAAAAGACTGCTACAGTTTCATATTTATTGTGTATATATGCCCACAAGTACTCGACGAGTTCCCACAAAGACTAAATGGGTCCATTCTATATCCCATCCGCTGTAGAGAATATTGTACGGGCGGTCACTTTAGCTATAAATCAAACACGACTGCATCACCAACGGCCAATATTTGATGACAATATTTGAAAACGGTTACAATATATGCCTCCTTGATTTACCCTTGGCCGTCACGGAAGTAAATTGGATCTCTTAAGATTGCAGCGTTGCATAAACAGTCATATCAAACCATAACAACATGATAAAAGCTATGATTTATCCGTAAAAATAGAGAAAATGAACCATAAAGCATATTATCTGGTAGTGATGAATAAGTACGTTAGGTCGAACCTCTACGATATGTGATGCTTGATCAAAAACTTATATGGTGTACCGTTTAAGATCTAAAATGGGTATTGAGAGGCCATTGCGTTCCGTTTGAATGCTGGCAGGTTTTGAAAGTTTGCCATCATAGATCATTGTAGCAGGTACAGTAATATTGTTTTCTAGAAATATCGATGCGTAGCATATAAATAGATTTTTTCTACAATTCTCTTTTCAATCAACAAAAAGCTTCAGAAGGAGCAATACCGCTCGTTACCATGATCATGTCGATAGCCCTCCTTTCCATGTGAAGATATTTCTCTGTCCCCGTAGGCCCTTGATATATAGACAAAATGCATCCTTTAACACCTTCTGGTTTTCGGTGATGCGGTTGGCAAAGGCCTTTTCTATTATAAAGCGTATATTGTTGTCATTATTTCAGGCTTAAACGTTGTATATTGCACCATCAGCGCGAATACTTTTACATGATCACATACTGCTTTGTTTGTGTCAATGACAGCACATAGACAAATATATAGCGTCTACACCGACCTAAATGGGTAGTCATTCGTTGAGATGTTCTTTTGGGTTCAGTGGGATGAAAACGTGCAATTTGTAGGACAATATTATTAATATCTCCCATTGGTACACTTATTGATGCTCACTCTTTGTCCTATGTGAGTCATTAAACTGAGAGACATTTCTCTAACTGCCTATCAATAGTCGATTTAGTATGCCTTAGATGCGAAAGCAATCGTCTATCTGGGTGGATTCGATTAGCTTTTAGATAGACGTTTAGCAAGGTTGTGCGATTTGTTGTCTATAAACTGCAGGCCTGATGGGGGATATATAACTCATCGTTCTCACTTAAGAGCCCTTTGACCACGACTGAATGGCTATTTTCCAGTTCTTGAGTTGAAGGAAGTTGACAAATTCGCATGTCAGCATCTTTATCTGCGATCGTTACTTCTATTTTAGTTGCGTGGTTTTCGATTGTCGCCTGGCAAAGGTGTATGTACACAGCAATGCAGGCAGATCGCAACCTCAGATAATGGTGTCGATGGAAGTTTGCTATAAGCCATTGCAGTAATAAATGTAAATGAGGGTTTAACAGCATACGTCAATAAGCAACAAAGATGTTTTTACAAACATATTAACATTGTCGCATCATGAAAGACACTTATTTCTAGTCAAATCTAACAAGTTGATACAAACTGATTGCACACTGTGGTTGTTATGAATAGCGATATATAATATCGAGAATTCCTAGTTCCCAGGAACAGAAAAAAGAACTGATAGCTGGTGGAGAATTTCTTACGTTATATGTATTTATATAAAGAAGAAATGAAAGAAAACATGTCAAATTTTCCAGCAAGATTACATTGAATTATATCTGAATTACCTTAAACTTAATCAAGTGATTCTCAGTCAAAGGACCATTTCGTCTTCCCTAACAATATCAGCCATCATAAACGAAGGGAAATCTGTGTAATGATTGTTGAGAGGCTTTCGACAAAAATATTGCTTACCTTCTGATTGAAGTCTTGAAGATGCCACGACAGCGTTCTCCAGATGCTGTTTTCCTAAGGTTTTGGTTTGCTACTTTTAAAGACGAATGTAGCAACGGTCAAACCAAGAAAACATCATGACGTGCTCACGTTTCCAACACCGTCTGGACGTGTCTTGTGCACTTTAAGAGATCCTAACGTGAAGGACCGCCAGCGGACTCGTACATTGGACAGTTAGCCTGGTGTAGGGGGGAACGGTCCATTTGTATGGTGGAGATGCTCAATAATTTATAATCCTAGTCCTCGATTTTGTGATAATCCGATTATCATTGGCAGGATAGGCTGATAAGAAGGCAAGGCCAGCGCTAATTAACAGGGAAGCGGAATAATTAGATTATTGATTATAAGTAATTCACACTATGTAGACTCCTGTTAGAGTATTAGCACTTTTACCCCTAATAGTAAAATACGAAACAGATCAGATCATTTTGATATGTAAAATTGTAGATATAATTTCTTCTGCGCTGTCCATGTCAGACATAATAGAACAAAACTCGATTTCGTATTCTAACTCTTGGTGTATCTGTAACAATCTCATTGAATATTCAATGAGACCATTGCACATATAATACAGACGGCATCATCGCCAATAGGATTCTCGTAGTGGAGGCAAAACTGGAATCTTCTTTACTTCTTAGTTTTGAAGTCATGTGATAAAGTACTAGTAATCGTATCAACTATAATGAACAGTTTGTCTCAATCTAGTAAATGAATAATATAACATGGTCCCATGTATTTTCAGAACCACAAAGGAAACATGCAATGACATTATATTTTTATGCTGGTAATGTATTTTGGGTCATTGTAAACACAAAGACTGTAGGATTCCTGCCAAAGAAAAGAAGGTTAGAGATAGGTCACAGCTGCGTGCAAGGTAGGACTGATTGATTTTATGGGGACTCCGCATTTCATCATGGGGGGGGGGCAGGTTGTCGCTTTTAGTCACAATGTAGGCAGGTCATGAGAAAGTCATTACCTCCCTTTAAGTACACATCGGCGGAGCCTTTGTTGAATCAGGGACTTATCGTAGATCACGATCACGATCGATTCAGTGAATAACATAGATCTGCAGTGGGTTGATAAAGAATCGAGGAATCTCATAGCAAGACCAGATTTTAAATTGGTGAAGTGCAGAACAGAATCAAGCAAAACATAAGACAATCAAAAACAAAATAAAACAAAATAAGACAGGTATCCAATGCAATTTCAGAGCAGCAAAACTGGAAATATTCTGAATAAGACAATCTTTATGATATTGACACATACTGCTTCACATTAGCACATGTCAATCAGCATTTGATACTTTGGGTATTTAAAACTGCAGAAACAAGTCCCAAGATGAGTCCTTTATTTTATGGGTGGTACCCTAAAAGTCAGCCAAGGGCCCTTCAGGTAACCATTTTCCGTCAGAATTTTGGCTATTTTTGCCCCATGAGTATCACTATACATTTGGATAGTGTGGTTTCA